GTGGCCCCTGTTGAGCCCCTGAAATCCTTTCCCGGGCACCCCCCCCCCCCCCTGCTTGGCACCCAGCATTGCCCACTCCCCTTGCCTGCCTGTGTTCAAACCGAGTGTGTTCATAAAAGGAACTTACAGTGAGAAGAGAAGAGCGCCATGTAATGTTTTCCCCGACAGGCTCTGGCCAGCGAGCAAACAATGGGCAGACTGGCAGCAGATAGCGGAAACAACAAGAATGGGGGCGCGGGTGACGTGGCAGGGCTCTCGACTCTGCCAAGATGGCGGCAGGAGGCGTGATGTGGGGAGGCTGGGGCGGTGCATTGATGGAGGGGTGGCGAGACAGACGGTTGAGGGGGGCAGCGGGCAAATGAGGGGGTGAGGGGGCGGTTGATGGGCGGCTGGGCCAGAGGGTTCAGAGGAAAGAGGGGGACAGAGGTCTGGGGGAAGCCGCGCGGAGCGCAGAAGCTAAGGGGGCAGGGCCTGCGGCAGAGCGCCCCAGGGGTGGGGGCTTGCAGTCGCAGGCAGGGCTGCCAAATCACATGGATCGCAGGGGTGCAGTGCTTGGGCCTGGGCGGTGCAATGGGGTCGCCGGTGGGAACAGGAGGAACAGGGGAAAAGAGGTCACAATCTAGCGAGGGTTCGTCGGAGGCTGGGGCCAAAACAAAAATGAGCAAAGAAAAGGAAGAAGCACGTCATCGGCTGCGGGCAGCATGCCGCTGCAAAAAAAAAAAAAAAAAAAGGATGTGGGTTCTGTGTTGAAAGGAGGGTGATTACGAGGAGTCATTGGTCATGCGTCGCGCGGCTTGGCAGCGTCGCTTTCTCCGCCAGCGGCCGCCGCCTGCCGCTCCTCCCGCTGCTCCTGCTTCTGCTTCGAGCTCGGGGTCGGGCTTGGCCGCGCGCCGGCCGCCGCCGCCGCCTGCTGCTGTGGCGGGGCGGAGCCGTGCTGCATGGCTGGCAGCTGGTAGGCAAGCGACAGCTCCGGCTCTCGTGGCAGCGACGGCGCCGGCACCTGCCGCACCTGCGGCTCGCCCTCGCCCCGCGCCCGCTCCCTGGCGGGGCTGTCGCCGGGCTGCCCTGCCGGGGCCGCCGCCGCTGCCGCCGCCGTCGCGGCGGCCTCCCGCGACGGCGGCGAGCGCGCCTCTGCCCGCGGGCCCGCCACGCGCTCCTCGGCCGCCGCCGGCGGCAGGGCAGGGTCTGCGAGCAGCTCTGAGGGCGGCTGCATGCGGGAGGCGGCCGCCAGGCGCCCCTCGCTGGCCTGCCGCTCCATGTCAGCCTCCTGCTGCTGCTGCAGCTGGCCGAAGCGCGCCTGCGCCTGCGCCATCGCCCGCTGCCGCCGCTGCGCGTTGCGCGCCGCCAGCCGCTGCTGCAGGCAGTGCACCGCGGTCATGCGAGCCAAAAAGGCGGTGGCGGCGTCGTCCTCGCCCGCAGGCTCGTCGCCGGCGGCGTCGCCAGGGCCTCCCGCCAGAGCCGCAGCCGCCGCAGCAGCAGCCTCGCCGGCCTCCCCTCCCACCAAGCCGTCGTGCTCAGAGGGGGTGGCCGGCGTCAGGCCGCTGCCGCTGCCGGGGCCGGCCTCCGCCTCCGCGTCTGCGGCGCCACCGAGACCGCCAGCGGCCAGCACGGCGGCGGGCTGCGCGGCGGCGGCGGGCTGCGCGGCGGCGGCGGCCGGCGCAGCGGCGGCCGCCTTGAGCAGCTTGCCCATCTGCGACTGCACCAGCTGGCGCCAGCTGGCGTCGGGCGCGGGGGCCTGGTGCAGCAGCGAGTGCAGCTGCGCCGCCGCGCGCTGCTTCTTCACTGCGGCGGCATAGGCGCGCAGCTCGCCCTCCTCGTCGCCCGCCTGCGGCGGCTGCGGCGGGCGCCAGGCCGTGGGGTGGTCGCCGACGACGGCGGCGGCGCCGCCGCTGGCCGCGCGCGTCACGGGCGAGCCGCTGGCCGCGCCGCCGCCGCTGCCGCCGCTGGCGGTCTCGGTGGCGGCGCTCATAGGCAGGCTGTCGGGGCGAGGGAAGGCGACAGCGGTGGATGGGCTTGACAGGCCGCCGCTGCCCCAGCCCTGGCCCTCCGCCGCGGCGGCGCCGCTCGCCAGCTGCGCCTGCTGCGGGCCCGGCGCCTGCTGCTGCGCCTGCTGCCCCTGCTGGGAGTGGTGGGAGTGGTGGGATTGAGCCGGCGCCTGCTGCTGCGAGAGCGCCTGCTGGGAGCGCGCCTGCTGCGCCTGCGCCGCCGCCGCGGCGTGCTGCGCGTGCTGCGCGTGCTGCGCCGCGCGCTGCGCCGCCCGCTCCGCCGCCTCCAGGCTCGCCCGCGTCTCCCCCACCTCCCGCCTGATCCCGGCAATCAGCTGCGACAGCACGGCGGCTTCGGGAGGGGTGAGGTCCCGCTTGGACGCCTGCTGCGCCTGCAGCGTCTCCAGCTGCCGCTGCTGCTCCCCCGCCAGGCGGCGCAGCGCGGCGAGGCGCCGCGCCTGCTGGTCGTCGCCGGCCGCCGCCGCCGCCGCGCGCCGAGCGCGCGCAGCCTCCTCTGCCAGCTGTGCCGAGCGCTGCTCGATGCTGGCGATCTCGCGCTTCAGGCCGCCGATCAGCTGCGACAGCGCCAGCCCCTGCTGCGCCAGCGCGGTCTGCTCCTGCGCTAGCGCTGCCACGTGCTGCTGCGGCTCCAGGGACCGAGGCGTGGCCAGGGCGTTGCTGATGGGGGAGTCGAGAGCCCACCAGGAGCTGCTGCTGCGCGGCAGGGCGGCCGCGGCGCCGAGGTCGGCGGCGGCGCCCCCGCCGCCCGCGCTGGGCGGCGGCAGCGGCGAGGGCAGCGGCAGCGACACCCCGGCCGCCGCCGCCGACAGCAGCAGCGATGCGTGGGAGGGGAGGAGCAGGCCCGACGCGGCGCGCTGCTGCTGGGGGGGGGGCCGCGCGCGGGCCCGCCGCCGCCTGCAGCTGCAAAGCCTCCATCTTGTCCGACGGCGGCGCGGCCCAGGCGGGCAGGCCCAGGCCAGCCGCGTCGTGCGCCGCGGCGGCGCCCCGGCTGGTGGGCGTGATGCCGGCGCCGGGGGTGGCCGCCATCGAGGCGTACGGCAGCAGCAGGCTGTCCAGAAAGGCGGACGAGAGGGAGCCTGCAGGCGGGGCGAGGCGCGCAGGCAGGCAGGCAGGCAAACGGCGGGGTGAGAGAGGGCACAGGCTGGCTGGCAGGCAGGCGCGAAGGCAGGCGGGCAGGCGGGCTGGCTGGCCCCAAATCCCTCCAGGGGCGGTGCTGCTGTACCGCCGAGGGGGCAGCGCATGGCACGGCCGCCTGCCGGCCCGCCGCGCGCACCCGTGAGCGGCCTGAGCGGCAGCAGCGCCTCCTGGCTGCTGGCGCTGGTGGTGGTGACGCCCGCGCTGCCGCCGCTGCCCGCGCCCGCCGCGGCCGGCGGCAGCGCCACCGGCGGCAGCAGCGGCTTGGGGCGGATCAGCTGGCCCTGCCCCCGCTCCTGCTGCTGCCGCTCCTGCTGGTGCTGGGAGCGGTCTGCAGTCAGCGGCGGCGGCGGCAGCGCCTCGTGCGGCGCCGCCCCCCCAGTGTACTGCCTCAGCAGCTGCTCCCGCATTTCCCCCAGGGCCGCCTCCTGCTGCCGCTCCCGGCGCAGCAGCGCCTGGCGGCCGTCTGCGGGGGCACAGTCTTGTGCCAGCGCCTGCCACAGAGAGTGGAAGCTGCCGCCAGCGGCGCCGTCTGCAGGGGGTGGGGGGGCAGGCAGGGGCAGGCACCGGTGGAGTCGGCTGGGCGGCAGCTTCACGGCAGCAGCAGCAGCAGCACATCACGACGGTAGCGGCGCTGGGCACACCCAATAGTTTATGACATGATAACAATGTTATAATGATAAACCAGATGCACGCCCACCTTGCAGGGCAGCCTCGCCGGCCTCCGTCTTGACTGGGCCTTGCAGCGGGGCCCCCACCCCGGGCGGCGCACCCAGCGGCCCCGCCGCCCCGCCGCCGCCGCCGCCCGTGGGCGCGGGGCCGCGCGCCGCGGCGGCCGCCAGCCCGGGGCCCGGCTGCGGCTGCCAGCTGGGCGGCGCGCCGGGGCGGTGCTGGAAGCGGGAGAAGCCGCCGTCCCAGCCGGGTCCCCCTGTGGTGATGGGCTCGGCCGCGTGGTACAGCTGCGCGCCGCCCGTCAGCCCCTGCGCCTGCGGCGGCACCCCCTGCGGCGGCAGCGCCCAGGGCGAGACGCCGGGCGCCTGCGCCTGCGCCGAAGCCGAAGCCGTCGCCGCCGCCGCCTGCTGCTGCTGCCAGGCGCCCCAGTCGGGCGCGGCAGCAGGCTGCGGCTGCGGCTGCGGGGCGGCGGCTGGCGGTGGCGCGGCGGACACCTTCCGGCGCTTCCCGGCCTGCCGGTTCGACCCTGCAGCAGCGCGCAGGAGGCGTTCACGTTCACGCCCCGGCACACGCGGCAGGCGGGCAGCGGCAGGCAGGCATGGGCCGAGGGGCCCTCACATGGCAGCCGCACAACAGCTTTCTTCTTTCAGCAGCGCAGCGTGCAGTCCCAGGGTAAGCCCGCGCCCCCACCCATGACCCCACCTGCCCGGCCGTTCGCCGCCGCCGCCTTCCCCTCCCATTCTGACTCTGTTTCCGCCTCGCTGCCGCCCTCCTCCTCCTCGCTGGTGGCGTCACTGCAGCTGTAGTCCTGGTGGTGGTGCCCCCCACCCCGCCGCTTGCCCTCCTGCACCGCGCCGGGCCAGGCAGGCGGCGCGCGGCGGGCGTCGGCGTCGGCACGGCCGCGTGGGCAGGCCAGGCGCGGCAGGGGCGGGCGGCAGGCTGCAGTGCATGCACGCCGTGATGCAGGCAGGTTTGAAAGTCAGGTGAAGGTGGGGGCTCGCTCACCCGCTGCTGCTTGAGCAGCTGGCGGTACGGCCACTTCTGCAGCCCGAAGCGGCGGCACAGCCGCTTGAAGATGGTCTGCGAGAGAGGTGGCGGCGGCGGGAGGCGAGGGGTGAGCTGCTGGCCCCCATCAAGACCACAAACCGCATGCCAGCCCTCTGCTGACTGCATGCAAAGGGCGGGCGGCCACTCACCAGGCCCACGCCCAACGACTCGGCAGCTTTCTGGCTCGGCTGCAGCGCAGGCGGGGGGACAGCACCCATCAGCGCCACTCAGCCCCTCACCTCCACCAGCCCGCAGCCGGCCCCAGCAGGCAGCCACTGGTTGGCTGCCGTGGCCCACAGCAACCGGGGGGCAGCACGTGCCGGTCTGTAGCGGCGGCCTGTATCAAAGCAGGCACGCCCCAAACAGCCGACCCCAGCACCCACCATTGTGAACCGGGCCTTAAGGTCCTCATACGTTATGTCTGCTGTGTACACGCCTGCAGGACAGGGCAGCAGGCGGTGCACGGCTGGTGAGGTTTCGGTCCCATGCCGGCAACGGGCGCGGGCGCTGGCATGGAGCGGGTGCCCCCCAGCGCCCCTGGAGCGGCGCCTCACTGGGACGCTCACTCGCGCTCCCATGCCGCATGTGGAGGGGACGGCGGCTGGAGCTCTGGGCAGCCAGAGCGGCCAGGAAATGGCCTGGTACTGGCGCGCTAAGCGGAATGGAGGTGGCGCCTCCCGCTTGCCTGCTTTGGTGCGCTTGCGACATCTGCCGGCGTCCGCATGGGACAAGCGCCCCGAGGGCGGGCTCACGCCACCCTCTTGAAGGTGGCTCCCGTCGAGGCCCTCCATTATGCCGGCTGCGCACGCCAGCGCCGTGGCAGGCCCGCAGTGGGCTGGCGGCGCCGTGAACCCAGCGTTTGGGGTGGGGCGGCGTCGGCGGCCCGCTTGGGAGGGCCGTGGGCGGGGCCTCGGTGGCCGCCACAGCAGCGCAGAAGATGCGTGGACCGGGTGGAAGCGTGGGTATCGGGTAAAATCGACAAAACCTAAGCCATGCAGGCCGCAAGCCCGCATGGGGCTCCTTGCTCATGAGAACCGGCCAGCTGGGAGCAGCCCATCCCGCTTGATGCCAAGTGCCCACTGGAAGCGACTGCTCGCGAGGGTCACACGGGCGGTGCAGGAGCCCCGCGGCACGCAGCTGCCGCGGCGCCTGGTGCTGCCCCAAGAGAGGCAGGCGGGTCAACACCCCCCCCCGGCTTGCGCGCGGGCGCTAGGAGCCTTGGGCTGCTCAGCCAGGGGCCCCCGCAGGCCCCCGCCCCTGCCTCCCAGCAGTAGGCCTTGCTTGCAGGAGGGTTTGGTGCACAGAGCCTGCGCCAAGCGCTCCCGCAAGCGGCCTGCAAGATGACCGCTGGCTTCCCGCCCCTGGGGTGAAACCAGAGGTAACCCCTCCAGAAACCCCTCCAGCTGAAACTCCATGCGGGCTTGCTGCCATGCTTGGGCCGTGCCACCTCGTGGCATGCTGCGGATGCAGGCTGCGGGCGGCCTGCAGGACCGCAGCTCGGCCCCACCAGGCCCTCCTCCAAACGCCGCTCCCAAAGGGAACCGTGCAAGAGGCGCCGGCGGCACCCACGCGGCATCGCCTGGCCAGGCAACACCCTCAGGCACTCAGGCACTGCGCACCGGCAGCCGCAAGAGCGAGGAGGGCAGGCAGCAACGGCTGCCCCTTGCGCCGCACGCAGCAGCCCCCTCGGGCCGCCTGCTGCTGCCAGCCAGCCCGCTGCCCTGGCTGCCCGCAGCACCTGTACCGTCCTTTGGTTTACAGAACCGGGATGCAGCAGCAAGGATACACGGCCCAGGGGGGGCAGGCAAGGGTGCGGTCGCTCTCAATGCGGATAGCAGTGCAGTGTTGGCGTGCCAAGGGGGGGCCGGGCGCCGGCGGGAAATAGCCGCGGGCGCGCCATGGCAAAGGGGGGCACACCGTGACGACGAGCCTACTTGCATACAGGGAGTGAGAGACAAAAAGGCGCGAGGTGGGAGGGACACAGGCCTCGAGGGGCCAGATCAGATGGATACACTGTGCGCCCCAGGGGGTCCCGCCACTGAGGGGGCGGGGCGCTGGGGCATGCAAGGCGCCGCGGCCGCGGGCGCAGCAGGCGCGGGCCCGGTCGGCGCGGAGCGAGGGTGGCGGCGGGGCGGCCCCAAAGGGGGGCGCCCCGCCCGCCCAGGAATCAGCGACAGATGCAAAGGCAGTGCGGTGCAAGGGGGGGGAGAGTATGCAAGTGGGTAGGTACGCGGCGGGCCCAAAGGTGGGCGCCCCGGACCGCGAGCGGCAGCAGGGAAAAAAGTGGGGAAGGCGAGGGCAAAAGAGGCAGGCAGGGCAGTTCTCTTCTCAGGTAGGGGGACAAGCATGGTGCGGCGGGAGCCGGGTGCAAGGTGGTGCCAGCGGGGCATGCGCGGCGCGGGCTGCGCAGGTAGGGGCGGTGCAAAGCGGGTTGGTTCTCGCATGTTTTTGGACTTGTTTGTTTGTGGGGAAACAGCAAAAGGGGGAGGAAACAGATGACAGGGCAGAAAGGTTATGCAGAGGGACAAGGCAGGGGGTACACAAGCACGCAGTCGCACAAGCCGCCGCGCACTGGGGGCGGGCGGCTTGCTGAGGAAGAAAAGGGACAAAGCCTGAAGGGGGGGTGCCTGGGCACAAGAGGGGTGACATGTGTTGGCTTGTTGGATGCATGGGGGCGGCAGGCCAGGGACAGCGGCCTTGCATGCTCCCGCCGGGCGCGCGTCTCAGGCGCCGGGCGGGGGCTGCACGCCAGCCGCGAGCCGCTGAGGTGGGCGCGGAGGCGGGTGACGGGCCCGTTGCGGGGGCCGTGCGCTGCTGCCTCTGTCGAGGCTTGGGGCCGTGGCAGCCGCAGGGGCGCGCGCCAGCAGGGGCGCCTCACGCCACCACGCGCGGCTGCTTGGGCGGGTGCCCAGCTGCCTTGGCCACCTCGCTGCCGCAGTGCTGCGCGCCGCGCTTGCGCTGGGTGGAAGGCACCGCGGAGCCAAGCTGGTTGGTGCGCCTGCAGGTGCGTGGGCGGGCAGGCGGCCGACGCCGGGTCGGGTCGGGCAGCCGTGCAAAATGCCGGCAACAATACCGCCAGCCAGGCGCCGGTGCTGCCCAGGGCTGCCCGGCAAATGCATGCACACGGCGGGCGGCCCGTCGCTGCTGTGGAGAGGGCCAGGCCTCTGTTGCAAGCTACGATGTGCTGCCCTGCAGCAGGCAGCAGCTGGCTGGCAGGCTCGATGAGGCTGCAAGCGCGCACCTGTAGCGCGTGCCGCAAGCGTTGCAGAGGATTGCCTTGTTGGGCGGGCCGCGGCGCCACTGGGGGCTCTCGCTGCAGCACTTGCGCAGCGGGGGGCAGGCAGGACGGGGCCAAGGGTGAGGGGTTGCGGCGGGGCGCGGAAGCGACAAGAAGACAGCAGCGGGCTGCGGTACGCCGCCGCGAGCAGGCGGCGGCGGGCGGTAGGGTTCGGCTGCTCAGCATCCCACTGCAGCGGCGGCTTCAATGGCCCCACAAATGCCTTCAAAAGCGTCAGAAGAGGCCGGGGCAGCTGGCACCGCGTTGCTGAGGCGATGCTCGCATAACCCCAGGCGCATGGGAGGCCCATGCCCCTCCCTGCCGCCCCACAGGCGCTGCAACCAGGCACATTTGGGATTCACACCCCCAGGCAGGCCAGGGGGGCTCACGTTGCGCCGCAGTGCGAGCACACCGGGCCTCCCGTCTTGTGAGTCTCCGCCAGCAGCGTCTGGAAGGAGGGCTCCTTGGCCTGCTGCTCCGCCGCTGCCAGATGCTGCTGATGGGAGGCGAGCTGGGCCCGGGGGGAAGGCGGGGAGGGGACTGCCGGCTTGCTACCGCTGGCCAGGCGCTCCAAGTCATTGTCCGAGGCGTAGCCCAGGGGCCTGCCCGTCTCTGTGTCCACCAGGGCCAGACGGTAGAGCACGCGGCTCTGCTTCAGGCTGGCCAGCCCCTCGAACAGAGACTGCGCGGCGGTCGACTTGGGGGCCTCCTCCAGGGGCGGCAGGTCGTTGAAGAAGTCCATCGAGTCGGTGCTGCCAAAGGGGGCCATCGCCAAGAGCGGCGGCAGAAGCCGCGGGCAAGAGACTTGGGAGTGACGCTGCAGCGGCTCCAACAAAGGCAGCAAGTAGGGCAGGGATGCAGTGGACACCGCAAAACAGGAAATGCGAAGGGAATGGGAGCCCGGAGATGCCTACATGCTGCCCCCGAGCGCAGCACACCGCGTACGCTGACTTGCCTTCGAAACATCGCCCTCTGAGTGCCTTCTGAGTCCCAATTGGATTGAAAATTGAATTTCCGCTCGGCAGGCCATGCCAGGGGAGGGCAGCACTCATGTGAGGGGCGCTGAAGTGTGGTCTCTCTCAGTGGGGTTCCCCTCAACCTCTGGGCGGTCTCCCCTGGCTGCACCTTCGTGCTGGAGCCGCTCTAGTTCACAAAAAAAATGCACATGCATTGCAATTCCAGCATGCAAGCATGCAGCAAGGCAGGGGCACGCGGTCAACACATCCTCCGCCATGCGCAGCCGCGGCGGCGGCTGCCAGCCCGCAGCGCCGCCAGGTGGCGCGTCCGCTGCATGCGGCTTCCGCGCCGCCTCCTCACTGCCCCTCGCCTGCCTGCGGCACAGGGAGGCCCTCTGCCGTACCGCTGCCGCCTGTACCGCTGCCACGCTCCACATCCACACCTTCCTGCCTCCCGCCGCCATCCCTGCTGCCAGCTGGAGGGCCGCCGTCCGCCTGCCTGCTGGGTTCCGCCACCGCGGCAGCCGGGCTGGCAGCCGGCTCATTGTAGACAAGGCTGCCAGTGGCAGGGGCCCCGTCGCCAGCAGCACCAGGCTCCGCTCCAGCTTCAGCCGCAGTCAACACCTCCACCTCCTCCTCCTCAGCAGCAGCAGCAACAGTAGCAGGGGCCTCCTCGCCAGCCTCGGCAGCAGCAGGCGCCTCCTCCGCGCCCGCAGCTGCCGTCATGCCCTTCCCACCGGCGGCAGCCGGCTCCTCGGCAGGCTGGCCTGCGGCAGGCTCGCCACGGCTGCCGCTGCCGGCGGGCTCGCCGGCGGGGCTGCCGGGGCTGCAGCCGCCTGCCCTTACGCGCTCCGCGCCGCCAGCTGCGGCGGCGGCCCCGCCCTCGGCGCCCGCTGTGCCGCCGGAGGTGGCTGTGCCGGTGTCGGGGCTGGCGGGCGCAGCCGACGCATCGGCGCTGCCGCTGCCGCTGCCCTCTGCTGCCTCCTCGGCACTGGCAGCCTCCGATGGCTCCTGGGCTTCGGCTGGCGCCGCCGCCGCCAGCATCGCCGACACCATCTGGCTCTCGCGCCCAGACGGCGCACGCAGCGCGGCCGCCAGCAGCTGCAGGCCGGCCATGCCCAGGCCGCCAGGCTGCTGCTGCTGCTGGTGGCGGCCGTCGGAAGCAGCCGGCGCCTGCAGCGCCGCCGCCAGCGCCCGAAGCTGGCCACACTCTGCGCAGTGGCCGGCATCCCAGTCCGCCAGCTGGCAGTCCCGCCCGCAGTACCGTACCGCACGGCAGCCAGAGCAGAAGCGCAGCGCGGCGGCGGCACCGGGGCCGCCGCCGCACCGCGCGCAGCACGGCCCCTCCTCCGCCTCTGCTAGTCCCTGGGCGCTGCAGGGGCGGCTGCCTGCTGTGGCGCCGCCGTTGCCGGCGAGGGCCTCCTGCCGATACTCCACCAGCAGCGGCTCCTCGCCTGCAGCCAGCAGGGGAGCTGCTCCAATCTCGCTTGGATAGTAACCAAGTTTCGCAGGCAGCAGGTCCCAGGCAGGCAGGCAGGCAGGCAGGCAGGCAGGCGGGCAGGCAGGCGGGCAGGCACGCAGGCAGGCAGGCAGGCAGGCAGGCAGGCAGGCGGGCAGGCAGGCAGGCGGGCAGGCAGGCAGGCGCGCAGGCAGGAAGGCGGGCAGGCATGCCCGGCCCAGCGCAGCAAGGCCCCTGTGTGCAGCAAGCCGACGCCCAGCGCTCCCAGCCACCCACACACACACGCGCACCCTTGAGGCCGGGCGGGAGGCCGCTGCCGCCGCGCAGCGCTGCCGCCGCCTCCTGCGCTGCCGCCGTCTCGGAGAAGAAGAGGTAGCCGAGGCGGGTGGAGGTGTAGAGGCCGCAGCCCTTGAAGCGGGCGCCGAAGCGGGCGCCAAAGGCCGCCAGCAGGGGCCTGCAGGCCAGGGGCCGCGGGGCGGGGCCCGGCTTGTTTGTGCAAGCGAGGCGAGGCAGGTAAGCAGGCAGGCAGGCGGGCAGGCAGGCGGGCGGGCGGGCAAGGCCAAAGCATCCAGCAGCAGTGCGAGGGGCGGCAGGGTTGGAAAGAAGCAGGCGTGGGGCGCGCAGGCTGCGCGTGCCGGGATGCCAGCTCAGCGCCAGCTCAGCGCCAGCCAGCGCAGGCGTCGCCGCACCTGGTGGCCTGCGCCCCCAGCCTCTTCACCCGCAGCGCGGCGCTGGGCTCTGTGGCGCTGTAGCCATTCTCCACGGGTGCAGGCGCCTGGGCTGCCTTGGCCTGCTGCCCTTTGCCGGGCGCTGCCTGTGCTGCTGGTGCCGCCGCTGGCAAAGGACCGGAGGCCTCCACACGGCGCTTGTACTCTACTTGCAACGGCTGGGAGGCTGCGCGGCAGACAGGGGGTGCCAGGAGGGGAGCGGGCGCGGGCATGGGTGGATGGGAGAGTGGCAGGGCCCGGCGCAGGCACGTGCACACACACAGGGGCACGCAGCTTTGGGTGTTGTGCATAACCTTGGGACCCATGCCCGGCGCCAGCAGCAGCAGCAGCATGCAGCAGCCGCGGCAGCAGCAGCAGCAGGGGGCAGGAGGAGGCGCAGGCACGAGCAGGGTGCGGAGCCGGCGGTACCGGCGGTACCGCCACGTACTGGAGAGTCCCGGGACCACCTGCCCGTCCACCTCGCGCGCCAGCCCCACAGCCGCCGCCACCTCCTCAAAGTGAAGGGTGAGGGCCGCCTTGCGAGCGTTGTACAGGTAAGCCTGCAGCCTGCCGTGCTGGCGCGCTATGTCGCACAGCGGCGCCGCGTCGCCCTTGTGACCCAGCCCCGACACCACCAGGTGCCTGGCGGCCTCCCGGCACCGCACATACTCTGCCTGCGCCTGCGCCGGCGGCGTGGCCGGCGCGCCCCCGTTGCCGCTGCCGCCACCGCCGCCGCCACCGCCGGTGCGGCTGCCTGCGGTGGCGAGGCGGCCCAGGTGCAGCTGTACCACCAGGGTACTGCTGCCTGGCTCAGCAGACACTGCCACCAGCCCCGGGCTGGCAAAGTCTGCAGGGCATGCACGGCGGGGTCTTTCGCTTGAGGGTGAGGCACAAGTGGGCTGCTCACACCGCTACGCTGCATGCAATGCAACCACCTGGAGAGATTGGTGCTGGCAAACAACAGGCTGGGGCCACACCGGGCAGGCAGTACAGCACCGTACCGCACCTCGCACTATGCTGCGCAGCCGGCCGGCGGCGGGGTAGCTCTGGTACTCGGCTTCCACGGTGGGGTCGGAGGAACGGTACTGCAGGAAGGCGGCAGGAAGGTGGCTGGACTGAAGCTCCCGGCTTCGCTGCACCGTGCAGCACGGGCGACGAGCACGCTGCGAGGCGCAGGCACGCAGCGGCAGCAGTGCGAGGCACACCAAGCACATCTGTGCCCCTGCCCAGCTTCTGCGCAGCTGCAGGCAGTACCTTGAGCAGCTCGTCCCCCGCCTTGGTCAGCAGCACGGGCAGCTGGCGGAAGGCGGCGCCAGACAGGTGGCGCAGGCCCCTCGCCAGAAGCGCCTGCAGCACCGCCCACTTGACCGCACTCCCCTGCTCCTGCTCTGCAGCGGGGGTGGCGGGAGGGGCAGGGCTGCACAGGGTGTGTGGCAGGGCCTGCTTGGCAGCGCGGGCAGGCACCTGCTGCAGTTGCGCAGGCGCCGGCACGAGCCCAGGAAGCAGGCTGGCAGGAGGCTGGGAGCAGGCGGCGAGCTGCACGCCACAGCAACCGCCTGCCAGGCTGCTGCAAGCCGGCAAGGAACGCCCCACCCTCGACCCGCCCCGCCCCCTCGGCTCACCAGGCACGGCGCGGAAGCAGCAGGACCGGAAGAAGTCGAGCGCCGCGGGCAGCTGCTCCAGCCCTGGCAGCTGCACGGCAGCTGCCGCCTCGGCCATGTTGACGCAGCGCACCTCCTGCTGCTGCTGCTGCACACGGCTGGCCTGCGGCGGCGGCCGCGGTGGCGGCGGCGAAGCCGCGCCCGTCCCCTTTGCCTTCTGCACCGCCGGCGCGGCGTGCAGCAGCGGCGTGGCTGCCGCGGAGGGCTGGCCGCCGCCGCCGCCGCCGCCGGCCTCCTGCTGCCAGCACTGGACGGTGAGCGCGCGGCCGCCGCTCAGGCGTGGCACCACCACCGCGTTGAGCCCCGTCAAGGCTGCTGCTGCCTGCCCCACTGACTCGAAATAGACCTCCGCCGCCTGCTGGCCGCCGGCCTCCGCCGCGGGCCCGCCGCTGGGCGCCGGCCCCATGCGCAGCGCCCGGATGGCGCCGAAGCTGCGGGCGGGCACAGGGCCGGGGCTGTGCATTTGGAGGGGGTGGTGCATGCTGGCTGGGCTGTGCAGGCTGGTTGCGGCTGTTACCTGCACGCCTGCCTGGTCTGCTGCACGTGAACGGTACCGGGAGCCGCACCAAGCGCCCAGAGCCGCACCAACAGGACGGGTTCCGACGCCACGAGCAGCAAGCAGGCACCCAGGCCACACAACCAACCAGGCGAGGCCAGCAGTCAGCAGGCACCCAGGCCGCGCAGCCCACCTGGATAAGACGGCGGAGACATCTGAGGCCCGGCACTGAGCCGTCAGGCCGCCCACCCAGACGGCGCTGGTGGGCTGGTCGCTAAACATGACTGGCGGCCCTGCTGCGGCAGGGGCCAGGGGAGGGTCCTTGCCAGGGAGGCGCGAGCGGAGCGGCATGCCGGGCGTCGGCGGCGGCGGCGGCGGCATGCTAGCGGCGGCGGCGGCCAGGGGCGCCTGGCCGCCTGGCGGATCGAACCCCGCGCCATCGGGCGGCTGGATGCAGCGCTGGCGATCCCGAGGACCTGCCCAGAGGCCTGCCTCCCTCCAAGCTTGATTGTCCCGGCAGGATGCTCACCCCAGCCTAGAAACCGATGGGCACTTGCCCCGCTCCAACCAACCACGGACGCCGAGACGAGCGGAGCAGCGCCATTTGGGGCAGAGGTCCGGCAGGCGGTGCCATGAGCCTGTTGGTGGCGGGCGGGCGCCAAGTCATCGGCGGCATGGCATGCCTTCTGCCCAATGCCGGCTGCATTCCACCCTGCGTCCAGCAATGTGCACACCGCTTGTCTTACAGACGGGAGAGAGTGCGACTGGCCGGGGCGAGCGGCCACCACTGCCAAAGGAGAGGTGTGGTTTTGTGGGGAGGGGGCGCGGAGCCGGGAAAACGTGGGAGAAAGGACCAACAGAGGCGAAGGGTAGGGACGGACGGAGGAAGACAATGCGGGGGAGGAAGAAATTTCAGCAGGGGTGAGGTGCATTCACGGGCGCGACACAGCCAGCCGCCTCCGAATGCCGCTGCAGCCTGGGCGGCGAGCTGCTCGGCGCCGCCACACCAGCAGCCTCAGCACCAGCAGTGAACTGTCCAACAAAAAACGGGTGCCTATGATCACTGGGGCTGGGCAAAGACGCGCAGGTTGTGGTCGGCAGCGCCCACCAGCAGGCTGCGGGCGTCGGCGCCAAACCGCAGCGCGTGCACGCCCTGCAGCGGCGGGGCGGCGGGCAGCAAGGCCAGGCCGGCACTCAAAATGGGGAGCCGAGCTGCGCAGCAGCAGCAAGCCTGGCTGCGCCGCGGCCTGCACGCCGAGCAGCCCGCCGCAAGGCCGCACGCCCCGCCACACGCCCGCGGCGCTCGATTCCCACACGCTCCCGCCTGCGCCCTCTGCACACCGCCAGCCCCAGCCCAGCACCCCAGCACCGCAGCACCCCACCTTCTTGGGCACATCCGCAAACTCCTTCACCACCCCCCAGTCCTGCTTCACGCCATAGATCCGCGCGTCTGCAGGCGGAGGGCAAGCAGCGAAGCGTGGAGGAAAGAACCAACGGGTGAAAGACGAGGCGGCCGGCGCGGCGGGTCCTGAGAGAGCGACCGCCGGCGCAGCAAGTAAGGGCCACGGGGGCTGCAGCGCTGCCTTGCTGGCTGGCCGGCAGAAGCCGGGCGCGGGCGGCGGCAGCAAGCGGCAGCGTGGGCAGCGGCAGCGGGGGCATGCACCCGCGCCTCCCACGCCCAGGTACAGGCCCGAGTGGTCAAAGGCGACGGCGGCGGTGGGGGTGCCCTCCTCGTACGGCGCCAGCGACTTGAAGTTGCGCAGCTTGCGCAGGTCCCAAAGCTTGACGCCGTCGGCGGCGCAGGTGGCCATGTAGTACCTGCGGTACATACGGTACGGGGCGGTACCGCGGGCCGGCCGCGCGTTGCGTTTTCGTACGTTTCTGCGTCTCCGCCGCCAGCGGCCTTGGTGCTCGCCGGTGCGGCCTGCCGGGGCGGGCTGCGGGCTGCATATGAGGCGCAGCGGCCGGCCCTAACCCTAAACCCTAAACCCTCCCACAGGGGGCCCCCTCACCCGTTCTCGGAGAAGCTGATGCCGTTGATGCGGCCCTCGTGCCCGTCAAACTTGGCCACATTCTGCGGGCGGGGGCGCGGCAGCGGCAGGGGGTGCCGCAGCCAGTCAAGTCGGGACGGACCCCAACCCACAGCTCCCCTCCACCCACTGCTCGCCTGCCCCACCCGGCTCCCTCCGGCCCTCTCCCGCTCCCTCTCCCTCGCCTCCCATGCCCGCCCTGCCCCCAGCTCTGCGGGGCCCATGCCCGCCCCATGCAAACCTTTCCCGCTGTTTGGCACCGCAGCTGGGCCCGCAGCATTCACTTGCTCCTTACGGGTGCAGCAGGCAGGCAAGCAGACAGCCCCACGCGCCGCCCCGCCCCTCGCCCCGTCCCCAGCTCCGCCCACGCCTGCCCCGCGCAGCACCCCACCCCACACTGCCCCACCCCGCCCCGCCCTGCCGAAGGCGCCCCCACCTTTTGGGTGCGCGTCTCCCAGATGCGCACAGCGGCGTTGGCGGTGCCGGTGCACAGGATGAGACCGTCTGGGTGGAGCGCCGCGCAGCTGTACCCCGCGCCCGCCGCCTCGTCCGCCACCTGCTGGGCACACGACGGGGGGGGGCAGGCGACAAGGCAGGCGGCAAGGCAGGCGTGGTGTGTGGTGTGTGCAGCAGTGTTGAGCGGTAGTAAGCAGCAAGTGGGGGGTGGGAAGCGCTGCTGCACCCCAGGACAGCGCCGCCGCCTCACGCCCTTCCTAAAACGGGAGCAGAAACGCCCTCGGCCAAGCGAGAACGCACGCGCGCACGCACACTGGCCCGCCGTTCCCCGCAACGACAACACCCCCACCCCCACCCGCCCCACAAAAAAAGCCGCACGTGCCTGCGTGACGCACTGCGCCGCCGCCACATCGTAGAAAGCCCACGAGCCGTCTCCGGCGGCGGTGAGCAGGAAGTCATTGGTGGGGTGCACGCACACAGACACCACCTCGCCCGCCTGGTCGCTGCACGCACGGCAGGTGTGTGGGTGGGGGGGGGAGGAGGAGGGCAAGGAGGAGAGTGAGGGCAGACACGCGCAGTGGCGGAGGCGGGGCGAGGCGCAGCGGTTTTGGAGCTGGGAGAGGCGCGCGGGGGCGCGGCACGGCGGCCGCGTGCACGCCGGGGTGTGCGGCGGGGTGGGGGCGGGTAGGCCGCGGGGGAGGGGGCGGGATGAGGAAGGGCAGGGCGCTCGCCTGAAGGTGTGTGCGCACTCGTAGCCCTCGCCCGCCGCCCGCCACAGCTTGGTGGTCTTGTCGGCTGAGGCCGAGGCCAGCACCTCCTGGCTGCCCACAAACTTGACGTCTGCGGGGCAGGGGGGCAGGCGGAGGCAGGCAGGTGGGGGTAGGCAGGTGGAGGCAGGTGGAGGCAGGTGGAGGCAGGCAGAGGGCTCGGCTGCTGCCGCGCCGCCGCCACCTCGCGACCCCCGCCCCGCCCTTGGCACGCCGACGCGCCTCCTCTGCGCTGTGCGTGCCAGCCAGGCAGCCAGCCCCCAGCGCCTCACCGTGCACTTTCTTGGAGTGCCCCGTCAGCGAGGCCAGGAAGCGCTCGGCCTTGCAGTCGTACACCTGCATGGGCCGGACCGAGCAGCAGCGCAACAGCAATCAGTCGGAGCAGCGCGGCAGCAATCAGTCAGAGCAGCTGCAACAGCGCAGTAAGAACAGCAGCGCGCAGCCAATGAGGCGCGGTCATTGGCAACTGCTCCCCACATCCCCCCCTCCTGCGCCTCGCCTCCTGGAGCATCCCCCATGCCTCCGGCGCCGCCATGCAGCAGCAGCAGCAGCAGCAGCAGCAGCAGCAGCAGGATGTAGGGGAGCACACCAGGCACGCCGCTCACAGCAGGCATGCACACCTGCACAGTAGCGTCGCCGCCTGCGGTAGCCACCACCTCCTCGCCAGCTGGGCTCAGGTCCAGAGCCAGGATGCCGCCCTGCAGGCAGAGCAGCAGCACGGCGCGGTCAGCGGGAGCAGCAGCAAGGCGCGGCTGGCGTGGAGTGGGCTGGCAGATGGCGCCGATGGCGGCAGCACGCGGGCCCCACCGCCAGCAGCAGCGCTGGCGAGGAGGTACACGCAGCGCACGGCGCCGCACCTTGCTGGTCTTGTGCAGCGGGTGCGAGCTCTGCAGCGCAAAGGCAGCCAGGTCATCTGGGGTGGCGACTGCAGGGGGAGGGGAGGGAGAGAGGAGGGAGGGAGGGAGGGAGGGCAAGGGGGAGGTGAGCAGGGAAACCCCTGGCGCCCGACCAGCTGCGCTGGCAAGCTGTGCTCAGCTGCAGCAGCCGGGGCGACAGGCGGCTCGCGCCGCGGCAGCTCGGAGCGAGCGAGCCAGCGCACGCAGCGCGACGGCGCTGTTCCTGGGGCGCCGGGCTGGACGCCGGGTGGCGCGGCGCGGCGCACCCGTGGCGCTGATTGCGCGCTTCTTGCGCCCCTTGGACAGCTCGTTGCTGCAGGCGGTCAGCTTCTCGGCGATGTCTGGAGTGATGCCTGCCTTGGCCTGCAGGCAAGACCCCCAGGCAGGCTGGCTGGATGCGCTGCGGCGGCGGCAAACGGGCGGGCAGGGGCCGCAGCAGCGCCGCCCACCAGCAGCACGCCTGCGCTGCTGTGGCTAGATATGAGGCTGGGTGTGTCCTTCGGTTGCCAGCAGGAGAGTTGGGGAGGCAGGCGAGGACCTGTCGCGGCTGCCGGGCAGCAGGCCGCCGCACCTTCTTGGCCGCGCCCTCCGCCGCCTCTTCGGCGCCGCGCTTGCCATTGGCGGCGCCCTCTGGCGCCGCACGCTGCGCCTCCTCTAGCTGCTGCCGGTACGCGTCCCGCTCCCGCATCAGTCGCGCAATGACCCTGCGGGCCCAGCCAGCCAGCCCAGACAGACAGACAGCCAACCATGGTGACGCGTATGCCTGGCGACGTGGCGCGACAGGAGGAGGCGCCGACCGTAGTGCCGCAGAATTGGCCGCAGCCTGCCCCTGCCCGCCGCCCTCGCCCGCGCCGCCGTCTGCCGGCACGCCTGGCCACAGCACCGCCCAGCCCAGCGCGGCCCGGCACGACATGCACGCGGAAGGGCCCGCCCCAGCGCAGACCCACACACAGCACCGGCACCTGCAGGCCGCGTCGTGCTGGTAGAGCGCATGGCTCAGCTCTTGCCGCACAGTGTTGAGGCTCTGCCGCAACTGGTGAACCTCCAGCATCGTGGAGTCCCACTCCTGCCGGCCAGACGGACAAGACAAGGCAGGCGAGCAGTGGCAGCGCGGATGGAGGGATGGCGGATGGGGTGGGGGCGCGGCGCCAGGGCGGCACGCAAAGGCCAAAGGTGCAGCACCCGGCTGCCCTTGAGCTCGCGCCCTGCTGGTTGCAGCCCGCAGTGTCCGCTGCGCGTCCGCTGCCTGGCCGGCCCCTGCCGGCCGGCGACTCACATTTTGGAAGAGGCTGAGCAGGCCTGGGATGCTAGTGGCGGGGGTGGGGCGCGGCTTCACCGCCTGGCTGCTGGTCAGCTCGAGAAGGTCATCCTCGCCCAGCGCCTCGCTGGTCACAGGGTCCCGCCCCGTCTCCTGCAGCGGTGCCCGGGTGATGCTGCAGTGACACAGCTGCGTGCCAGTGCCGGCGAGCCCTGGCGGCTGCGCCCCTGCCGCCGCCACCGCCGCCCTTGGTGGCTTGCTGCGGCGCCCCCGACCCCCAGATCGCGCAATTGTCTCTCCTTGCTGCTGCACACCTTGATAACCTTGAGAATCAGGCGCTTCTCGTACAGGTGGCCCGACTTCTTCGACACCACGGGCACCTCCGGCACGGTGCCGCTTACTGCGGCACGGCAATGGCACGGGGTGCGCCGATGGCGCCCTCAGATGGCTCCTTCAGCCCTGCCGCACAGCGATCAGGCAACCCTGAGGCTGCCACTCACTGGAGCACAGCATTGCGTGGCCCTGCTCGCCCCTGGCGCGATGCTGGTCCGGATGGCAGGCGCCCTGCCAAGGCAGAGAGCTGGGGAGGCCGCCTAGCTGGTGCCGCGCCGGTGATGGGAGCTGCTGGCTGCTCTCGACGCTGTTCTTCACTTGATTTGTCGCTGTCAGGCCATGCACATGCGTCCTAGGGGACCGGGACCCGTTTTGCGCGAAGAAGGAGGTCGTTTCTTTCTTCGCGCCCGGGGTAATTGCCAGCGGGGCTGCGCGCACATGGCCGCTGGGCAGGCCAGGACCGGTCCTTTGGTTTGCTAGGGGTAGGGCCACGTCGTTCAGAATGGCGCCTCCCGCAGCAGTCCCTGAGAGCGGTGAGCATGGCGCCGTGATTGGGGCTGCTGGCGCATGTGGGCCGCAGGGCGGTCTGTGCGGCCCGGCGTCGCCCCTGAATTGCAATACGCCGCCCCCCTGCTGCAGTCCTGAAGAAGCGGAAGCGGGACGAGGACTGGGCCACCAAGAAGGCCGCGGCGGCAGCAGAGGCCAAGCAGAAGTCCGTTGCGACTCGCAAGGAGATCTTCAAGCGGGCAGAGCAGTATGTCAAGGAATACCGCACGCAGGTAGGGATGCAGCGAGCTGGCATGCTGCCTGGGCGGCTCTGGGCGGCCTGGGCGCGCCCCTGGCGCAGCAGCAGGGCACGGTGCAGCGGCCAGGGGGGCAGGCAGGGCGCCACAGGCGCGGGGTGCTCGCGCGCCTGACGACGGCGAGGCGGCGGCACGAGCAGACAACCGGCAGCCTGGCAGCTTTAGAAGCAGCAGCAGTCAATGTACTGAGAGCTGGATGCAGCGGGGCGATGCGGCAGCAGGCAGGGTCAGGCAGCAGAGGGAGCCTTGGCTAGCCAGCAGCGCAGCAGGGTAGCAGCGGTGGGACGCGCACGTTCTGCGACGCACCTGGTCGCAAAATGGCAGCCCGCCCAGCGTGCCACGTGGCTGGGATCTGCGCCAGCCTGGGCACCAGCCTGCAGCACAGATCTGCAAGAGGCTGCAGCCGGCGGCTCCTCCCTGCCCACCAACCGCAGCACGCGGCACCGTGCCTGGCGCTGCCTGCGGCGGCAGCATCCCTCGCGCCTTTGCGCCTCACCCCTGCCGGCCCCTGCCGCGCGTCCCCCCTCTGCCCCACAGGAGCTGGACCTCATCCGCCTGAAGCGGGAGGCCAAGGCCAAGGGCGGCTTCTATGTGGAGCCGGAGGCCAAGCTGGTGTTTGTGGTGAGTCGTCGTCGGCGGCGGCGGCGAGGTGGCGGCGCGTATGTGCTGCGCATGCTGTGTGCAGCCGCCTCGCCATCCTGCGTGCAGCCGTTGCTGCGCGTGCTGCGTGCGCTGCTCGCATGTGGGACTCTGGCAGCTGGCGGCTGCGCACGCGGCGTGCCGCGCGGCATATTAATAGAAACGACGGCGTGGGGGCAGCTGGACGGCAGGCGGCGTATGGGCCGAGCAGGCATGCGGCAGTAGAGCGCGTGTTGTGGGCCAGGCAGCAAGCGGGAGACACAAAGGAGCGGCAGAGCTGGGCGGAATGTGGCTGGCAAGCGACGGCGGCAGCTGCAGCAAGCAACGGCGACAGCAACAATACGCGGCTGGTGCCTGCGCGCAGCTGGCACAGGCAGCAGGCGCCGCATGCTCAGCCTGCTGCTGCGGGTCGCTGCGGATCGCAGCGGCTCGCAGCGGCTGCGCCTCTCCTCCGCACGCCGCCGTGGCTGCTGCCTTGCCGCCCCGCCCCACGCCATGCCGCTGATCCCTGCCGCTGCCGCCGCCGCTCTCGCCGTACCGCTGTACCGCAGATCCGCATCCGCGGTATCAACGATGTGGCCCCCAAGACCAAGAAGATCCTGCAGCTGCTGCGCCTGCGCCGAATCAACACCGGCGTCTTCCTCAAGGTGTGGCGGCAGCACGCCGGGCTGGCTGGGCCGCAGCAGGGGGTGGCTGGGCAGGTGCTGGGCCGGCTGGCCGGCTGGCTGGCTGCGGGCCGTGACCCCAACGACCGCACACACCTGCCCACCGCTGTTGGTCAGCGCATGAAGTCGCAAACACACAACTTTCGCAAACACACGAGCCAAGCAACCCCGCCCCTCGCATGCATCTTCCTTCCCTTCCTGCCCCCGCAGGTGAACAAGGCCACCATGAGCATGCTGCAGCGCGTGGAGCCGTACGTGGCCTACGGCTACCCCAACCTGAAGACCGTCAAGGTGCGGCGGCGGCTCCTGCCGGGCACGGCGCGCCCTCCCGGCCCGGGCCCGCAGCTCGGCTCTGGGTGTCTTTGGGCGCGGCTGCTGCGCTCGCCTGCCTCTCCCTTGCCTCTCCCTTGCCCTTCAAACCCCTGCCCTCACCGTGCCTGCCTGCTGCCTCCCTCCCTTGTCTCCCCTTCCCCCCCTCTGCCTCCCCCAGGAGCTCATCTACAAGCGCGGCTTTGGCAAGGTCAACAAGTCCCGCATCCCGCTGACCGACAACGGCGTGGTGGAGGGGGCGCTGGGCGGCCACGGCATCATCTGCGTGGAGGACCTGGTGCACGAGATCTTCACCGCGGGGCCCGCCTTCAAGCAGGCCAACAACTTCCTCTGGCCCTTCAAGCTCTCCTCCCCCAAGGTGGGTGCTGTGCAGAGGCAGGTGGAAGTATGCATGTGGACTTTGAAGATGGGTGGAAAGAATTGACGGGGCAGCGGCACACGTGTGGACATGGGGCGGCTGCGCGGGCCTTGGCTGCTGTGCCGCCGACCGGGTGCCAAGGGCCGCCGCCGCCGCGCGCTGCCCCGGCCTGACCCCCGCCCTCTCCCCCGCCTGCGCCTCTGTGCGCTGCAGGGCGGCCTGGACAAGAAGCGCCTGCACTACATTGAGGGCGGGCAGGCGGGCAACCGGCAGGAGTACATCAACAACCTGGTGCGCGCCATGAACTGATGAGCTGGCACGCTGAGCCGGCGCGCTGAGCTGGCGTTCGACGCATGCCCTTCGCGCGTCCGGCGGCTGCTCTTCCTATGGTGGCGCGGCGTGGGACGCCCCGCCCCGGCGCCGCACGCGTGCTTGGATGTAAGAGCCCCGGTAGAACTTAGTGAGCTGGGGAGGCGCGGGGTCGTGCTCAGAGCGCTCTGCACGCTGGCTGCAGCGACCACAGCACGGGCAGCCAGGGAGCTGCTGCAGCCCGCAGCCTGCTGGTGCCAGGGCTCAGCCGCTGGGAGACGGCTACCTAGCTGCGGGCGGGGGGGAGGGCCGCGCTGGGACGCATGCGCCGGTTGCGGAGCGGGGGCGGGTAGCTGCGCGGGGCCTGTTTGCCCCTCCGTAGTGCAACGGGGCTGTCGGCGCCCGCCTTGGAGTGCCCAGCATCCAGCCATATGCACGCGGTGCTGTTCCAGGGGACAGGTGGAGGGAGGGATTCAAGGGACTGAGCCTGCTGGCACAATTTCCCTAGGCTTGCACAGATTTCAGTGGTCACGCTGCGCGTGCTGCCGCAACCAGCCTCGACAAGGGGGAACACCCCAACCTCCTGCGCCCCAAGCTGCCGAGTGAGCCGCACACAGCTTGCCTGCGCACCCAGAAAGTGCCGGCGACGTTCAAACTGCGCCCAGGCACGCCACTGTTTCGGCTCCTCACCTCGGGGCGGCCCAGCGGGCCGCGATGGAGGCAGCCGGGGCGGCGCTGCAGCGAATCAAGAAGAAGACGGCGCTGCCGCGGGTGCGGGCAGCCGTTGAGAGAGCATGACACGCTGCCGCGTTTGCCGGTTGCCCACCCGGTCAGCCGCCCTGCCTCCTGGCGGCGGCCGCGGCGCCAGCAACCCATGCACCGGTCACTGAAGCGTTTGCAGATGGGGCGGCCGGCTGGGCGGGGCCGCCGGGCGAGGGCGGCGGCGATGACTCGAGCGGCGGGACGCCGCACTCGTTTGCTGGCAGCAGCATCGCGCTTTCAACCTTGCGTCCTGCCTGCCCGCCTCGTGCAGATATGCATACACTGCGGCGCCACCTCCACCTGCTTCTGGCGCCGCGCAGGCAAGGGCATCAACGGATACATCTGTAACGCCTGTGGTGAGTTGCGTCAGGACTTGCAGGAGGTTTGGGCCGCTGCTTTGCTCGTGAGAAAGGCTCCACTCCCTCGCCCACTGCATTGCTTGGAGACTGCATTGCTCGGAGACTGCATCGCTTGGAGACAAGACTCCCCTCCTGACGCTGCCCGCCGCCTCCCCACCTCCAGGCTGCAAGCGGCGGCGCGACCAGATGAAGCAGGGAGAAGGCGGCGGGCCCGCCGCCGCCGCGAGCGCCCCCGCCGCCGCCGCGCCGCGCATGATGCCGCCCTTCCCCATGATGGTGCCAGCCGCCCTGCTGCAGCAGATGCAGGCGCAGCAGGCACAGCAGGCGCAGCAGGCACAGCAGGCGCAGCAGCAGCAGCACGCGGTGCACCCGCCGCCGCAGCCGCAGCCGCAGGCGCAGCAGGCGGCGGGCCCTCCCATGGCAGGCGGCATGATGATGGTGCCCATGCATGTACCCATGCTGGTGCCCATGCAAGCAGCCGGGGCGGCGGCGGCGGCTGCGGCGGCGGGCGGCCCTCGCCCCGCCGGCGGCGCTTTCTTCATGGTGCAGCTTCCCCCAGGGGTGCAGCGGGAGGAGCAGCTCAAGCTGATACAGCAACACCTCCAGCAGCAGAAGCAGCAGCAGCAGCAGCAGCAGCAGCAGGAGGCGCCCGCGCCGCCAGCCCCGCCCGCACCCCAGCAGCAGCCGGCAAAGCAGGAGGAGGCGGCGGCGGCGGCTGCGGCGCCGGCCGTGCCGGCGCCAAGCGTGCCCGCCCCGCAGCCCCAGCCCCAGCCCCAGCCCCAGCCGGCCCGCGAGCAGGCGGCGCAGCTGGCGCAGCAGCGGCAGCAGCAGCAGGCCTGGCTGCAGCAGCACATGCAGGCGGCGCACCAGCTGCGCCAGCAGGCTGCGGCGGCGGCGCAGCGCGCGGCCGGGGCTGCGCAGGCGGCGGCGGCGGCTCAGGCGGTCAAGCTTGAGGCAGAGTGCCAGCCTGGCCCCAGCCTGCACCAGCAGCCGGCAGGCCAGGCGAGGGAGGGCCAGCAGCCTCCGCCAGCGGCAGCTGCCATCAAGCGTGAAAGCCCCGAGCCGCCAGGCACAGCAGCCTGCCAGCAGCAGCCCGCTCGGCCCGCGGGCCCGCCCGCCGCGCAGCCGCCGCCGCCCGGGCCGCAGCAGGCGGCAGCGGCAGCGGCAGCGGCGGCGGTGGGATCCAAGCGGCGGCGGGAGGGCAGCCCGCAGGAGGCGGGCGGCCTGCCTGCAGCCGCCCCAGCCGCGGCCGTCGCACAGGAGCAGCAGCCCGTCAACGCGGCGCCGCAGCGCGCAAAGCGGCTGCCGCCCGCCGCCGCCAAGAGGCCTGCCGGCGGCGGCGCCGGCGGCAGGGGCAGGGGCAGGGGCGGCGCCACCCGGCACGCCTCGGCGCAAGAGCCTGAGCTCGACCTCAGCATAGCCGCGCCGCTGCTGGCGCTGGCGGCGGCCCTCGACCCGGGCTTCATGCCCTTTGCCGCCGCCGCCGCCGCCGCGGGCGACGACGCTGCGGCTGCGGCTGCCGCGCCCGTGCCGCCGCCGCCGTCGGCAGCGCCGCCTGTGGGCCAGCCGCGCCGCTCCGTCACCGCAGAACTAGAGGTGCTTCTGGCGGCAGATTCTTCTGTGTGGAGCATCGCCCGGGCGCTGCAGGCGGGCACCGCCTAGGCTGCCCCTCGGCGGCGGGCAGCGGGAGCGGCCAGCAGCAAGGCAGCTTGAGAGAGCCGCGGCACAGGAGCGTGTGCGCGAGAGACCGGTAGTGTAGCTCAGGACCAGACCATTCGCCTTGCATTGCTTTGCACTAGCCTCCTGTAGATTTAGTGTGCACTGCATGCATCCCTGCTTGACAATGTGTAAATGCCTTGATGCGATTGGCAACAGCAAGGGGTGGTTGGGGGGTGCAGAAAGTGGCGGGATGCCGACGGGCACAGCAGGAGCGGGCGCAGCAGGATGCCTTCAAGTGCGGTGGGCCCCCAGCCCGCGCATTGCGTTGTGTGGTGTCTCCTGGGCATCCACAAGCAAGTCCGCACCCCTCGAAGCGTCGGCGCCGCCAGTCCACGAGCCCAGCTTCAGCACCGCCGCTGCCCGACGCCGCGGCTGTTGAGCTTCGTATTTCATTCGGCTCAGGTGAGATGACCCAAGTTCGAATGGGGCCGCGCTGCAACGCATGCGCCCCCTCCATGCACGCGCCGCCACAAGTGGCAGGCGAGGCGGCGGCCTGCGAGGCGCGGCCTTGCTGCACCAGGGCATCCCGCCGGGATGCCTGCAGGGCCGCCAGCCCCGGCAGCGCCGTCGCTGGCCGCCGCCGGCGGCTGGCGGCGGCGCCGGCGGCGGTTCAGCCACCGGCGGTTCAGCCACTAGGCCCTGCGCCTCACCCCCGCCGCGCCGCTCCTGGTGCAGGCGCCCCACAGATGACCGCGCCCAACGGGGCTTCGGCGGGCAAGCCGCCGCGCCCCGCGCCCGGCGGCATCAAGCTGCTCGTGCGCAAAGCGGCGGCGCCAGTGGAGGAGGCGGTGAAAAAGCTGTCTCTGGACGAGGGCGTGGCGGCCAAGAAGGCGGCAGGGGCAGCCCCCGTCATCAAGGGTCCCAGCGAGCTGTACGCAGAGCTTCTGGAGGCGGGCGGGGGCGACCCCGCCGCCGCCGCGGCGCGCATCAAGGAGCTGCTCGCGGCCGGCAGCCGCGACGCGGCGGCGCTCGGCGGCATGGGCCTGCGCGAGGGCGTGGCCGCGCTGCACGCCCACGGCCTGCTGGCGGCCCTGGAGC